GGCTATATGCTAATAGCGGACTCGGAAATCAAAAATAGAACTAGTGCTAACAAAGCGCTCTGATTGTTTTTGTTGTAGAATACGATAGGGGATATATTCACACACGTTATAAAACTGAAAAAGGATGGTGTATAAAATTGATTTTAAGATAAAAAATTAGACGACAAAGAATTAACTTGACGGAGCTCAAACTCAAACCACACGGCAGCAACAAACAGGCTTCTAATGCTTCTAATTCAGAATTCTTATTTTAGCAAAATCTAGCTAATTTGTAAATATTTTTGTGGTTGATTAGGGCTTGCACAAATAAAAAGGTTGGAAACCACTGATTTAGAGCATACAGAGCATATACAATGGTTCTCTATTACAAGGTCAATCATTTTCTTAATTAGCAAAGCCTTTTAGCACTGTCCCAATCACCAAAATTTATGCTGTCCCATCCACCTAAATCGTGTTTGGGTGGATGGGACAAAATAAAAACAACCTAATTCTAAAAATAGAAACATGATATTAGCACATTTTTTACTGATTTTGTAGAAGTAGTGCATCATATTTAAGTTTCCATCAAAAGTTTGTATATTATAGTAGCTATAAACAGGTCAACTTCCTGTTTGATGCCTGCCCCGCCCACCTATATGATGTCACACCAATGAGGGCATCCCATTTTAATTATGTGGTCTTACAGCTAGGGCTCAGCAAAAAAAGTTTTTATTTTCACTCATTAGGTGAGAAAATAAATTCTGTATAGTTATTCTGTCCCATTTGACCTTATGTCCCAATCACCCTTAATTCACCCTACTTGGTTTGAAAGTGACTTCTCTGAGAGCTGTGCTTCATACATCGCTACACTATTGACAATAGACATTTTGCCTACTGATGAACGATTAAAAGCATTGACTTTCAATCAGAAGCCATTCTGATTTAAAGATCTTGTTCGTTTAAAGCGACAGATGACATAACTGCAGCATGTGCTTATAATAAACGGCATTATCGTGCGTTGGTGTGGACTCAAATATGGTCAGACTATAGTTATCTGAATATTTATAGTTATTAGTGTGAAAGCGAGAACCAAGTACAGAGTAAACAACCCCATAGCAACCACCCAGAACACCCTAGCAAACACATAGCAACCTACTAAAAACCACTCTACTAGAAAATCTTAGCAACCACATAGCAATGCCCTGGCAACCACCCATAACATCCTAGCATCATGACAGCAACTTGCAGGAACAAGAACCATTTTCATCTTCAAATAAAGTAGGCTAAGTAAAAAAAATATTGCTAGACAATGGCCTTTTCTACAATCTACTCATGGCCTGTATGAAAGTTATTACTAATTTCAAAATGAATATGCCATTATGAAGCTTCCAGCACTGTCTGAATGCATGCATTTATGAGAAGGCTAGAATATATTGACATGTCACAGAAAACAAAAAAACACATCTAGCCTACATGAAGTAATACTTATGAATGTCATGATAAACCAGACAGATACGCTCAAGAGGGACTCTTCTAATTCAGCACGTGCACTGACACTATATAAAAACGGCCAAATAAACACACAAAAGCACATTGCATATTTGGACACAGTATTGCTAGATAGGCCTATGTATTGGTGCAAGATAGCAGCCACCTGTTCATTTATCTGAAGCAAGAGCTCAGGTGCGGGTCTCATTTGTATAGCTGTGTGTGCTGGAGTTTGGCCAATGATCGATCTGAAGCCACGTCAATACACTCATCACACGTGAGTTTTACACTGGCCTCTCTGGCAGACACAGTATGGCTTTTTAATTCGATTTTTGTTTAAATCATAATCATAAAAATAACAATGTGTTTGCCAAATGAGGACAGATTCTAATTAAATTACAAGCAAATTTGATTATTTAGATTTAGATTTAGTTGCACTGTTCACTTTCCCCCTTTAAAAACATTTTAACCCTAAAGCAGTGTAGCGTCTGGACCACTCAAACACACAATATATATTTTGTTAGCTAGATTTAACAAATACTCTGTAACACCCCAGGAAGCCGAACAGGCCCCTGGTTCCATAGCAACACTGACACCAGATACTTTTACGACCTTATGGAATGTGAGCAGGGAAAAGCACTGTCTTTTCATAAGGAAAATCCCCAAGGCACAGTAGGAATGGACTTTTCTACTAATTAATTCATAGGAAAACCTTTCTTTGAATGAACAGTGTATCCTTCAGGTCATTGTGTATATTATTGTCATCGTGTATGTTGTCTTTGAGATTTTATTCTGTTTATGCAGGCTTATGATCGAAACATTCCTTCCTGTCATCTTACATATATATATAACCCTACCATGTCAAGTCCATTTGCAAATTACCATGCTTAGAGACAAAGGGTCATAAATCCCTCCAGCAATTGCCACCTCCCGCTTGGAATTTCTGTATATCTCATTGGACGAGCCCACCTTGAGAGGCGTGACTCTTCTCTGAACTTAAAGGCCCACACCAGGGACCCCCGTGGAGTCGGTGGTTTGTTTTAATTCTGAGAGGATGTGAAGATCTTGGGCCTTAAGATTGCATCAGGAATCTCTTTCAGACAGACGAGACTTGCAAGTATCAAACTTAGTCTTATTAATTTATATATTAGGTATCAGTTGCACCTTTTTACCAAGGTGTGTTTGAATTAAGAATCTGACGTTTCCCTCAGGTGTAGATCTGCTGAATATGCAAATGGTTCCATAAATGTCATTCCTTATGTCTCTTCTCTGTACTGAGTTAAGCTTTAACCTTTCCCTATACCAACTGCGTGTGTGTGTGTATGTGTATGTTAGACCAGTTTATGTGTTTATGTAGTATGTTAGACTAGTTTAAGTGTTTATGTAGTTAATAAAACCTTACTTGTATCACACTTGACGTGGTTCATTGTTTGCTCATAACTTAATCATGCAGATTTATGCTACAAGCTTTTGTAGAATTGTACAGTAAGGAAGTTATTTCCCTTAACCAGGAAATGAACGTTCTTAGAATTGACAAGACAGTTGACCCTGAGAGGTCAGCTAAATATCTACAGTGGATCTAAATATTCATAATTAATTATAACTAGTTCCTCATGAGCTGATTCGTTACAGCAGGGATGCTGTTTTTGTGACTTTCTAACTCACAGTGTGACTTATTATTTTGCAGTGTGACTTCCAAATATAATAATAAGAATAAGAAAAAGCCAAGTAGTATATGTATTTTAATATATTAATATATATTAAATAATTGACTATTTTTGTGACCTTCTTGTTTTATTGTGAGTTTAATAGAAGAAATAAAACCAATTTTTAGGAATACATTTATGAGAAATAAAGTCATTGTGTGTGTGTGTGTATATATATATATATATGTGTGTGTGTGTGTATATATATATATATATATATATATATATATATATATATATATATCCAGTGTTTTTGCGGACATTTCTGTTAACGCTAAAATGAAACAAAATAAATATAGAAAATTCATTTATATTAATACAGTGCATTGTGTCCTATTTTTACAGATTGTTCTTTATACAGTGCACTATTGATAATAACTAGTAAATTACTTCAATGGTGCTTTTATTATATTAAAAATATATTTTATATATATATTATATATTTTTGTTAACTTTTATTTTATCACAAATTATTATTATTATTATTATTATTATTGTGAGAAATAAATTCACACTGCAAAAGTCAGAAAGTCACAATTACAAGAAAAAAGTCGCATTGCAAGGTAGATCACGTGATATATGAAGCAGTATTGTTTGATAAAAGTTACAATTAGAAGAAATTACATTTGCAAGATATAGTCACAATAGCGTCGCAATTACCTTTTTTTTAGGTGAATGCAGGCTTCCACTAAATAAATGAACAGTAAAAAATAAGTAAAAATAGGTAAATAAATAAGCAAATAAGTTTAAAATCATGTGCACAACTAATAAAAGCTGATGTATTTTACTTGGACCCTGATGGAGACTGTCATGTTAAGACCACAATTCTAATAAATGCCTCAGTAACCATGCTGTGTTACATTGCATACTGAATTATTCATATCTAATGAAATATACAACCAGCATGTGGTATAATGACATTTGTTTTATCCTCTACATATACATATTCCATCAGATTAAAACTAAGGGGAGTCTTTTTACCCAGCACCACAGCTGTTTACTGCGTCTAGCTTCTGAAATGCTCCAGCAGATCATACAAGGTTTGTAGCTGCAAAGGTTCATAACGACATGTGAGATCTGAGTTCTGAAAACTTTGGTCATTGTCCTGCTGGAGATCCAGTCTGTAGTCTTCTAACAGCTGAGCTAACACAGACACGGGCCGGCTGCTGCTAGCGCCCTTGAAATGCCTGTGGTGTCAATAGGTTCAAAGCCACTATGGTGGATTCTAGGAAGCATTGACGTAAATCCTAAAAAGCAAATGGATGTGTACTGTAGTAATGTAACAATGAACAATAAGCAGCAGAATAACCAATATAATAAAGAAAATTATTCTGTATACATGCCCCAAGTTCATAACATGTATCGAAGCATATGGATGAGTTTCGATCATTTTGACTGATGGATTTCAAGGAAATGTCACAAAAAATTGGCAATACATGCTAAATAAAAAGGCATGAAATTAAAAATGGATTTTATGTTCTTATGTTCTGTCTTTATGCCAATGATGATAAATTAGTTATTAAAAATGAGTTCCAACAACAACAAAAAAATTTACTTTCTGCTTTAAGACAGGTTTTTTTTAATCATTAATCAATAATAATAATAATAATAATAATAATAAGATAATAACACTGTCTTAAAGCAGAAAGTATTTTGTTAGACAGGTCAAACTGGTAAACTCAGCCCAAAAAAACACATTAAAATAATTTTCATTACTTGAAAGCAACACATCCCTTAAATAAATAAATCAAGGCGAAAGATGTTCCTTGACTCAACTGTAATAAAAACGATAGACACAACAACAGCCGACAGGGATTGTTAAAAAAAAAAAAAAATAGAAATTCAAAATAAAAGGCTACAGTGTCTTTTGAAATGGGTCTTTCTAAAGTAGTCTTTAAACATAGTAAGGCATGAAGCATGATTGGTCTGTATGACCCGTGATTGGTCCACTTGATTGCACCACTTACACACTGTATTGCTTTTAATATGAGTTTTGATATCACATTTGTGAGAATTATGAATCTGGCATGTCTTTCTCTTTTATCTTAGCGCGTTCTTCTCCAGTAAGCAACAGCTACAATGAATGCCATCGCAGTGAGGAAAGACACAGTACGCCATCTTGACACGTTGTGGAAAATGCCCTCCTGCAACACAAGGCAGAGAAAGCATTAGATACACCCTGCATATGAACACATTTTCAAGACTTTGAATGACATCCATCCAATAATCAATAATCCTAATCTGTACGACTTTCTTCCGTGGAAGACAAATGAGGGATTTTTTGCAGCAAGTGGAAGTTTTCCATAACTACACAAATGAATGGAACCAGTGCTGTCAAAATTTAAAAACTGGAAAACATTGTTTGAATTACACAAATGCTAATGAGATTAGAGAGCAGTGCTGGAGGGGAAGCTTTTCATTGAATAATGACTTTTTTGATACTTTTCAGAAGAAATAAATACTCAGAAAAATTGCATGTAATTCTTGTTGAATTCACTGCCCTCAGCAGTCAATCGTTTCACAATTCGACAGGAAAGATGTTGCTTTTTAATGACTTTTCAGACCTTTTAGAGATTATACAAATCTATCTATATGGCGAAAGCAACTTTCAGTGGTTCAGTAAATGAATCTGATTAATCCTGTAACTGCTTTGATTCATAAGTGTTTTTGATTGACTAAAAAGGACCAGCTCATTAGCCATCACTAGTCATTTGTGAAGTAGTCCTCAGATGCCATATTCATTAGCATCTTACGTTGTTGAGAAAGTTGTTAACTAAATGAACTGCATGTATACAGGGGTCAAGTGTTAACTGCGCTTAAAAAAAAAAAGAAAGGCTTTCAGTTGTTTGTGTAAATGAACTATAATAACGGCATTAATTGTAATCTTGAATCAATTACCAGAAGTTATTACTCTGATATTTGCTATGTAGTATATATTTCTTTACATGAGTGTACTGGGTGTATGCTGGCAAAGTTAAATGTACCATATATACTCAATATATCACTTTTCGATTATATTATTAAAATTATACAATGATATAAACAATCAAGAAGTTTATATATATAAGCAGCGGTGGCGAACTCCGGTCCTGGAGAGCCGCAGCCCTGCAGAGTTCAGCTCTAACCCTAATTAAAACTCACCTGCCTGTAGCTTCCTAATAACCGTTCAGACCTTGATTAGCTTGTTCAGGTGTGTTTGATTAGGGTGGAAGCAAAACTCTGCGGGGCTGCGGCTCGCCAGGACCGACGTTCGCCACCCATGGTATATAGATGTAATAGATATAAAAATATACTATAGTAGATGTAGTTTGGAATTATTCATTCCTTATAAGGTTTTGTTCAGTTTATAACAATTTGGTGTAGTGACAAGCCTAATTAATATCTGCTGATGTGCATGGGGTAAATCACACTTATAAATGACAGAGTCACAGCATAAAACTTAACACTTTTGGCTATACAATCCAAATATAAATGTCAATAATTTAGTAGATATGGTACTACAATATTTGAACCATAAGATGAAGTGAAGTGAAGCCAAGTATGGTACAAGTGTAAGTATTGAACACACGCACACACACACACACACACACACACACACACACACACACTGTAAACACACTGTAAACACACCCAGAGCAGTGGGAAGCCATTTTTGCTGCGGTGCCCTGGGAGCAATTATGGGTTCGGTGCCTTGCTCAAGCACACCTTAGTCGTGGGTGCTGAGTGTGGATAGAGTGCCATTCAATCACTCCCCCCACCAACAATTCCTGCCAGTACTGACAATCAAACCCACGACCTTCGGGTTACAAGTCCAACTCTCTAACCATTTTGCCACAACTGCCTAATGGTTATACATGGTGGCACATTCCCCTGCAGTACAATACTGTAAACAGCATGTGCCTGATCTTTTTCAAATCCCCAATATGAGGGTCAAACGTACAAGAGTCCCTTCTCCTCCCTGGCTGGGTTTGCATTCTTCAGGCTCATGCTGTTTAGCAGACTGTAAATATTGTCACATGTTCACTGTATTCCAGTTCTCAGGGCCACAGTATGCTCCATGACGCCTGAGTGTTTGAGGTCTAAACCCAGCACCCCACATTCTGCTTCCTTTATGATCATATGTGTGCTATTAAACTTGAGTGGCCCCAGGAACTGCAGTCAGCCTGGTGGAGGCTCTGCAGCGCACATGCAAATCACATCTTTCTGAAGTATGACAACATCAACTCTTACATGAGATGTGAAAAGCAAAAACTGGCATTCTTGATATGCAATTTAAAAAGATAGATCAGATCATTGGTATCTAGTTGTGTGCCATGCTGGGTCAGTGGGTTTTTGTGTCTGGATATTCCTAGACGGGATGTGTCTGGGTTTGTGCTTATGTACTTCCTGGCTTGAGTGGGTGCGTCTCTCTGTGTGTGGTGGCCCATGTCTGGCTCGACCTGTGTGGCTCCACATGGGTGGCCAGACAACACATACAAAAACAGCAACTTACCCATCCTCCTTGCTGTCTGATCCAGGCAGAAATGTTTTCCTTGATAAACTGTAAAACCCAGCTAATGATCCTCTTGATAATGTCAAAGTGGTTCTGAGTCAGAGCCTAAAGGAATAAAATATAATTTTTATACATCTGCATTATCCATAAGAATAAGCATCCCTTAATAAATCTGATCCATCAACAATCATGAATTTGCATTAATGGAGTTTTTCATTTCCTTTTCTCAATTATTCATGCAATACCACAGCACTTTGATTGAAGAACAAATGGTGAGGCAATATGTTCACATTTTCCATTAAAATAATTCAAAGATGAACAAATGGACAAAGAATACTAAAATTCTGTTGGTAAATGGCACAATTAGTGTTTCACCTGGTAAATGAGCCTATACGCGAGGTGAAACAGTGCCACCACACGTCCCCAGTTAATGCCATCCTCAAAGATGCTCCTGGCTACAGTCATGAAGACGTCCTGAGCGCAGTTTGCTTGCACAGTGCCGATGAGACTGTGAGAGGAAAAAAGTTGTATGTTATGGGCTTCCCAAACTCTTCAACCATACCATCTTAAACAAAACATCACCCGTATGGACCACTACCCATATTTCAAAGCAAATGATCAATTCATAATTATTCTGCTAACATTTGGTTGCAACAAAGGTTAGCTATCTTGTTCTATATTGTACACTGTTCATACTGCATCCTGGTTTAGTAACCAATCCTGGGTTGTCAGGTCTTGAGATTTCATACTGTAGCCTTTTAAACCTTTGACACATTTGAGAGATTAGTAACAATGATTGGACAAATACTGTACACAATGAACATGAGGTCCTTTAACAACAGCTTTGTCCAGATCCAGTTATGTTGACATTTTCTGCACAATACAGCAAAAAAATAAAAATTGCATCTTTTGTGCACACCAGTTAGGGGTGGGCGATATGGCAAAAAGTATCATATCACTTTTTTTTTCCAGGAAAATTAAGATTTTATCTCGATTCTTTGTCATGTTGGTTTTACTATTTTGCAAGTTGTCTGAGCAGGACAGCCAAACTAATTTCCCTATTTTAAAAACAAAGCCAAGGTAACAAAATATAAAATAAAAAAAAGAATGGCAGACATTTAGGCCAAAGTGGGCAAAGATAAAATCTTTGTCATTATTTTATCTTTGTTATTAAAAATTAAGAACAAAGATACACATTAAACAAACAGTGCTTTATTTTTCAGGTACAGTAGGTGTATTTAGGAGTAGCATTCAAGAAACTGAATTAACAAATATAAAAATAAAACACTATATACACTTCACTGTATAAATTATACATTGATTCTTATTAAAGCAACTTTATTAAAGTTCTTCAGTCAAGAGCAGTGAGTGATTTTTCTCTTTGTGTTTTGTTGTTTTATTAACATTAAAGGGATAGTTCACCCAAAAATGAAAATTCTGTCATCATTTGCTCATGCTCAAGTTGCTTTAAACCTGAATGAGTTTATTTTTTCTGCTTCTTCAAAATATCTTCATTTGTGTTCAGCACAAGAAAGAAATTAATACAGGTTTGGGACGACATGAGAGCAAGTAAATAACGACTTAATTTTTGGGTGAACTGTCACTTTAATGACAAGTGGCAGCATGCTTAGTACTATTAAGTCTCCTGTCACTTTAGACCTGCACACATCTAATATACAGGCATGCATCTGTTTCTCTCTCAACTGTTTACTTTCACTTTAGACATAACCAACTATGTTTTTTGTAAACCTTGAGTGTCCAGTAATTAGGCGCTGTTGGACAGGCTTTTTAGTGTGCGTGTGCTTCAGGTGTACATGCTCAGAAAAAGTGCATGTCAGAAAAGCATGCGAATGAATTGTTTAACCGCCGAGGATTTAAAGCACATATAATGTACTTTTGTGATTGCGAATAAGTGCAGTTTTCTGTGAGTGTAACACTACCGCTGAGTTAACATTTTATGCAAATCAAAAATCATGATATCGCATACCAGCTAACACTCGTCAGGTTGGGAGAGGTGGGGGCACTGGTCTTTTAATTTTTTCTAAAGCTGGAAATACCTCACATGCTCTTATAACTTTAACAATACTTACTTTGGATTTCATGCAATTATAGTCACACCAATCCTTGTAAAAACCCACATTGTAGATATTTATCGCCCGGCAGGTCAGCTGGGCAACTTTCTAGAAGAACTGGATATGCTGCTGTCCTCATTCCCTGAAAATGGCAGCACTCTAGTACTTTTTGGTGACTTCAAAATCCACCTTGAGGAGCCACATGCTGCTGACTTCCACTCTCTCCTAGCCTTTTTCGACCTTCAGCAGCTCAACACCACAGGTACCCATAAATCAGGTAACCAGCTCAACCTCATCTTTACACACAATTGTATCACAGAAAACATCTTGGTCAAACATTTGCATGTCTCAGATCATTTCATTATTACTTTTAATCTACATCTACCTTTGTCCACACCACCAACCCCTCTGCCAGTTTCGTTTAGGCAAACCTAAGGTCTCTTTCTCCTTCTCGACTTTACTCTGTGGTATTGTCCTCTCTTCCCACCCCCACACACTTTTCATCATATGGGAATTGTGCAACAGATATGCTATTTTCTACCCTAACTAGCTGCCTAGATAATATCTGTCCTATTTCCTCCAGACCAGCACATGGTACTCCCTCCAATCCCTGGTTAATCGATGTCCTCCGTGAGCATTGGACTAAACTCAGGGCAGCAGAGAGAAAATGGTGCAAATCAAAAGATTCAACTGATCTCAGCAGGTATCAGTCACTGCTATCTTCATTATCCACCAAAGTTCATGCTGCCAAAACTACCTTCTTCCATAAGATCATCAATGCATCAGACACACGCAAACTCTTCAAAACATTCAATACTCTCCTTTGTCCCCCTCCATCACCTCCCACCAAATCTTTAACAGCTGACGATTTTGCTAATTACTTCACAAACAAAACCACATCCATCAGCAGTCATTTCTCAGCTCCACTCACCCAGGAACTCACAGCAAACACTCACACAGCTGACCATCTTCTCCTCCTCCTCTCCTTTTACAGAAGATGAAGTCTCTAAACTTATCCTCTTCAGCCACCCTAACACCTGCCTTCTAGACCCAATCCCCTCACATCTCCTACAAGCCGTTTCCCCATGTACTTCTGTCTTCACTCACACACATTATCAACACATCTCTTCTCACAGACATTTTCCCCACTGCATTCAAGCAGGCTCGGGTAACCCCACTGCTTAAAAAAAAAACTACACTAGACACCTCACTTGTTGAAAGCTACTGGTCCATGTCTCTCCTCCCTTTCATAGCAAAATCACTTGAACGCGTTATGGTCAACCAAGTGTCCTGCTTCCTTTTACAGAACAACCTGCTGGACAATAAACAATCTGGATTTAAAAGTGGCCATTCAACTGAAACTGCCTTGCTGTCAGTCACTGAAGTGCTATGGAGTGCAAGAACGGAGTCCAAATATTCCGTTCTCATTCTCCTAGATGTATCTGCTGTGTTCAACACTGTTAATCATTAAATCCTTCTGTCAACCCTCTCATCGATGGACATCACTGGAACTGCACTTCACTGGTTTAAGTCTTACCTCACAGGTAGGTCCTTCATGGTGGCTTGGGGAGGAGAGGTATCCAAATCATATCAACAGGTCACTGGGGTTCCTCAGGGATGAGTTCTTGGACCCCTCCCCTTCTCTATATACACTACATCACTGGGACCCGTAATTCAGGCACATGGTTTCTCCTACCATTACTATGCTAATTACACACAGATCTACCTCTCATTTGAACCAGATGATCCAATGGTACCTGCTCGGATCTCGGACTGCCTGACAGACATCTCAGCATGGATGAAAAAACATCACCTGCAGCTCAACCTGGCAAAGACAGAGCTTCTCAGACCCTTCCTAACAGAGCATGCAACACAGCTTCTCGTCCAGGCCCTTGTCATTTCTAGGCTGGACTATTGCAATGCTCTTCTGGCTGGACTTCCAACATGCGCAATCAGGCCTCTGCAAATGACTCAGAAAGCAGCAGCATGCCTTGTTTTTAATGAGCCCATATTACACCGCTTCTCATCTCTGCACTGGCTTCCAGTCGAGGCTCACATCAAGTTCAAGACATTGGTGCTTGCCTACAGAACAGCCATGGGCTCCGCAACCTCCTACCTCCTCTCTCTCCTATGCGTCTACATCCCCTCCAGAAGAGTGCAGTCGGTAAATGAGTAGAGGCTTGTGGTCCCATTGCAGAGAGGCACAAAATCACTCTCACCGTACCCTGTTGGTGGAATGACCTATCTAACTCCATCTGGACAGCCAAATCCCTCACAATCTTCAAGAAACAACTGAAAACTCATCTCTTCCATGACCATCTAACTGCCTCCTAATAATAAAAAATAAATAAAATTCTATGCCTTCAATTTTTCTATTGGCCAACATATCGGTTATCGGCTTTCAAATATAAAGAATAATCGGTTATCGGTATCGGCCAACATTTTCATATAGGTGCATCCCTAATCTTATGATCCTTTATCCCTTCCTGGCCTAGTTTGTACTATTATGAACAATGACTGAAACCTTGTATAATGGGCACTTCTCTTGTTTATTGCCATCTTATGATAAATCGCTTGTTGTGTTCCTCAACTGTGAGTCGCTTTGGATAATAGCATCTGCCAAATGAATGAATGTAAATGTAGCTAAATGTTCATCGTTGTTCAACTTTTACCTCTAACTGAAACTAAAGTCCCAGTCTGGAAATTTCTACGCACATGCATATTTAAATGAGATAAGAGGAGAAGGAGTTTATAATTGGTTGTCTTTTGCTAAACAACCAAAAGCAGAGCACCGTTCTAAAATGTATTACCTTGGTATTATAATTTGGGGTTAACCTTGCAAAAGTGGTGCTAAACCTGGTCTGGAGCAGGGCTACGTAACCCAGGGTTAAAACTGCCACTGACACAAAGTTTAAAAATATGTTAACCCAGGATTTAGTGCAGTGCAAAAAAAAGCCATTATGTTGAAATTCCTGAATGTTTGGTGTCTTTGATGGCTTCTATAACTTTTATGACTAGCCTAAAAACATTCACAGATTTCTGCCATCTTTAAGGCCTCATTAAAGTTTCACCCCAAAGAAAAGCCTCTTTTGAATGTTTAAAATTATCTACACTCACAAGACACTAAATAAAAGCTATTTCCGTTTTTTTCTAGATCACATGACCAGTCTAGATCACATGCAAATACTACTTCCTTTATCTTGGTAACCTCCTTTTACTAGACACTTTCTTTCGTAGAAAGACTTAATCATACATCCATGCCATTAGGTGTCAGCTTAAAGGGATACTCCACCCCAAAATGAAAATTTTGTCATTAATCACTTACCCCCATGTCATTCCAAACCCCTAAAAGCTTTGTTCGTCTTTGGAACACAATTTAAAGGGGTCCTATTATGCCTTTTCACTTTTTTAATTTTAGTCAGTGTGTAGTGTGTATGTTTGGGCATAAAAAAGATCTACAAAGTTACAAATCTCAAAGTCCACTCCAAAGGGAGATATTTTGTTTTTAAAAAAATCCCTTTTCAAGAACTACAACGAACGGCTCATTTGGACTACAACGTTGGTTTCCAGGCTTTGTGATGTCACAAAGCGGCCCATTAGAACATAATTAAAATAATTCCCACCTACAGAAATTCAAATGGTTGGGCTGGGGAGGGGTGAGGTCGTGGTTAGAACGCTTGGTTGAGTGCATCAGACAAGACGACGATGAAGAAGAAGTGCTGCTGCAGAGTAAGTGCATCAGAGAAAACGAAGAAGAGCTACTGTGCTGTAGCGTCAAGTTTTCGGCATGTCTAAAGGCGGTCGCACACCGGACGATAAGCGCAGCGCCGCGTCTAAAACAAACAAGTACAACACGACGTAGCTGGGTAACGTGGACAGACGGCGAACGGCACCACCGGTGTGCGTACACTCATAGAAAATAATGTGTTCGAATTTTAAAGACGTGGCGCGACGCTGTGCTTCTCGTCCGGTGTGTGGCCGCCTGAAACGCTGTTTTTTTCACCTCCGTGCCCATACCCCTTTGGTTGGGCTTCCGAAAGTGGATGATGTCAGGAAACAGTGGTTGCAATTTATTTTTAACTCTGTTCCTGAGCATTATAACCCCAATTTGCTATTGTGTGCTGCGCATTTTATTGAGGAGAGCTTCCACAACATGAGGGAGTACAGTGCCGGATTCTCCAAAAAGCTTTTGTTGAAAGACGGAACAAGGGGCATGGCAGTACTGAAACACCGTCTAAGCTGTTCGCCAATCACAACAGAAAAGCCTCTTTTGAATGTTTAAAATTATCTACACTCACAAGACACTAAATAAAAGCTATTTCCGTTTTTTTCTAGATCACATGACCAGTCTAGATCACATGCAAATACTACTTCCTTTATCTTGGTAACCTCCTTTTACTAGACACTTTCTTTCGTAGAAAGACTTAATCATACATCCATGCCATTAGGTGTCAGCTTAAAGGGATACTCCACCCCAAAATGAAAATTTTGTCATTAATCACTTACCCCCATGTCATTCCAAACCCCTAAAAGCTTTGTTCGTCTTTGGAACACAATTTAAAGGGGTCCTATTATGCCTTTTCACTTTTTTAATTTTAGTCAGTGTGTAGTGTGTATGTTTGGGCATAAAAAAGATCTACAAAGTTACAAATCTCAAAGTCCACTCCAAAGGGAGATATTTTGTTTTTAAAAAAATCCCTTTTCAAGAACTACAACGAACGGCTCATTTGGACTACAACGTTGGTTTCCAGGCTTTGTGATGTCACAAAGCGGCCCATTAGAACATAATTAAAATAATTCCCACCTACAGAAATTCAAATGGTTGGGCTGGGGAGGGGTGAGGTCGTGGTTAGAACGCTTGGTTGAGTGCATCAGACAAGACGACGATGAAGAAGAAGTGCTGCTGCAGAGTAAGTGCATCAGAGAAAACGAAGAAGAGCTACTGTGCTGTAGCGTCAAGTTTTCGGCATGTCTAAAGGCGGTCGCACACCGGACGATAAGCGCAGCGCCGCGTCTAAAACAAACAAGTACAACACGACGTAGCTGGGTAACGTGGACAGACGGCGAACGGCACCACCGGTGTGCGTACACTCATAGAAAATAATGTGTTCGAATTTTAAAGACGTGGCGCGACGCTGTGCTTCTCGTCCGGTGTGTGGCCGCCTGAAACGCTGTTTTTTTCACCTCCGTGCCCATACCCCTTTGGTTGGGCTTCCGAAAGTGGATGATGTCAGGAAACAGTGGTTGCAATTTATTTTTAACTCTGTTCCTGAGCATTATAACCCCAATTTGCTATTGTGTGCTGCGCATTTTATTGAGGAGAGCTTCCACAACATGAGGGAGTACAGTGCCGGATTCTCCAAAAAGCTTTTGTTGAAAGACGGAACAAGGGGCATGGCAGTACTGAAACACCGTCTAAGCTGTTCGCCAATCACAACACATTTCGTTTTTCGGAAGGCAGACCTTCATCAAACCCGGAACTAATCGAGCCGTTTGTGCCAGGCTGGGGAGAAAGGTACTTTAATAATGTAAATTATGTGAAAAATAATGCGTTTTTTCGAACCACCAAGCATGAAAGCATGTTCTAGTACACCACCAAAACAAAATCAAGACTTTGTAAAAAAGCATAATAGGACCCCTTTAAGATATTTTGGATGAAAACCGGGAGGCTTGTGACTGTTTGATTGACTGCCAAGTAAATTACACTGTCAAGGTCTTCAAGCTTCATAATGTTACGGTTGAACCACTGATGGCAGATGGACTATTCTGACGATGTCTTTCATACTTTTCTGGACCTTGACAGTGTAATTTACTTGGCAGTCAATCAAACAGTCACAAGCCTCCCGGTTTTCATCCAAAATATCTTAAATTGTGTTCCGAAAGCCAACGAAGCTTTTACGGGTTTGGAACGACATGGGGGTAAGTGATTAATGACAAAATTTTCATTTTGGGGTGGAGTATCCCTCCCAGACAAATGTGCAACATAAAAAAAATGACTGAATGCATCTTTAAATAAAATCTTAAGTAAACTATTAAAAAACATTGACTACATTCAGTTTCTATTTCACACAAAAATAAATTAATAAAATAAAACTACAGTTATTACCAACAACAAAAAAAAATTCATCAGACTGATCTTTTTTTAAGAGAAAATGCTTTGTGTTCAAAATAACTAATTATTTTAGGTAGTCATTATAATAAGATTAGAGGGCCTCAGCAAACTTATAAGGGGGCCATAGGATGAATTAAAATTATGAAAATTATAGTTATTTTAAAATCAACTTAAATGTTAATTATTTAAAAAAATAAAATGCTAATCAAACACATAAAAACAAGCTGTTAACTAAATATTTTTTTTAGAAATATCAACATCTGTTGTTTTATTAAAAGAACACATAGGAACTACCTCTGAAATCACTAAAATAATTGTGGTTAATTAATTGAATATATTGACACAGTGAGCTTGTTAATTAAAAAAAGTTGAAAACAAGCAGCCTTGTCATAATTACAACAGAATATACAGGAAAAAATATAACAGCTTATATGAGAGGCTTTTGAATATTTTGTTGGAAAATGGGAGGCCTTTCAAGTCAAAAAAATTGAGAACCACTAGATTAGACGCTTTAGTTGTGTCCTTTCAACATCACAAAACCTCATATTTATAAAAAGACAAGTAAGCTGAAATACAATTAAAAACATACTGTTGAAGTTCAGCATTCTTGTTGAGGTCATCGGCTATCTTCAAAAGTTGATCTACAACCTCTTTGATTTGAGGATCATCTGCTTCTTGAGGTCGTCCTCCTAGATCCTCATGGCTCACACGCATAGATGGATCCTCTACAGTAACTCGTTCAATAACATACCTTCATGTGAAACCAAAGCACAGTAACAGTGGAGAGATGCACTCATTCACACAAATTAATGCATAAAAATGTAACATATAGACAACCTATATAAAAGTGAGGATTACATGAGTTTACCCTCTTAGTAGAACGGCACCCTGTTCAATGATCACATCATCCATGACATCTGAAAATAAGTGGAAACTAATGTTTATATCATGACTATTTTAAAAGGATACAAGGTCAAAGTTTGTATTCCTGGGTGTGATAATGGGGTGAGAGGTTATTATACATGTGGTGAACACTGACCTCAATTGGGAACAACTTCCGGTTTTGATACTGGCTGGTTTATGACATGGGTTTGAGAATGTTTGTGGTGTATTCAAATTACCCTATTGTTACTGGATATTTTTACTCTCACTTCTGGTTTTCTCTCTTCTTGTCAATACCTTGTTTAAAGGTTGTTTGTGTAGTCCCAACTTATTTTAGAAAAACAGCTTTAATGTGTATGCATTCATTTTAAACAACAGCCTTATTTTAGGGGCGTATTGGCCCTTTGCAGGATGTCATTAGTTTCTGAATGCTATTAAAGCGTCTGAATGTGAATTTCTTCTAGTGGGTGTTTTGTTTGTGAAGGAATTAGTTTTGAATGATTCTTTTGAGTGAACTGGCTCATTTTTTCACTGTTCTGTCTTTAAAGACTGACTAAAGAATGAGCCAATAGCATTCAAGTACCGCCTATTCATAGTTTTTTGACAAATTTGGGTAAAATTCTTATGTCTTTCTGGAGTCTCTCGATAGTAGGGCCATAACTACCATTGACACCAATGGGGGACAAGTCTACTCCAAAATTCCTTTGTTGTTAGGACGACAAAACGTTCTGAAAATTACAATTTTTAGGGTGGTCTGCCTCATTAAGCACGTCAAAGCCAAAATGAATGAGACAATCAAATCAAAGCATGCGGGCTTTACTGTTCACAGAAGCCAAACATGAAGTTTAACGTCAAGCTTCAGTTTTAATAGTGAAAGAGTGTAAGGCAAGATGTAAGTAACCATTTTACAACAGAAACGCTAAACGACTGGCGGAATGGCGTAGTAAGGTCCCTAAACAAATTATTAGTGAAGAGACTGAAAACATTTGAGTCTCAAAATTAGGGATGGGCGTATCGATCCCAAAGTATCGATATATCGATACTGACGCGAGTATCGAAAGTATCGATACTCAAACAAAAATATCGATACTAAGGTGTGTTTTATTTACCAGTGATTTTGTTAATTCAACCAAAAAATAATAATAATAATGCAAGACCTTTTTTGTAATCAGGCTCTCAAAAAGTATATAAAAAAATTGGATATAGATTTATCGGCCAACATATCAGTTATCTGCTTTCAAAAATAAAGAATTATCGGTTATCGGTATCGGCCAAAATTTTCATATCGGTGCATCCCTAATTTGAACCATGTGTAAACAAAAATATAAACTAATTACAATTAAGGCGTATTGAATGTTAAAATGTGTTTTAAACAAAGTTAAGTGCTTATCATTACCCATTTTACTCTTAGTAATTTAATACATTTCATAATTTAAAAGTTTAGATCAGAAGTATCGTATCGGTATCGACGATACTGCCTTGAAAAATATCGGTATCGTATCGAAAACAAAATAAGTGGTATCGCCCATCCCTACTCAAAATCCGACCGCACCACTATTTTTATGATTATAAGCCTACATAGGAGACACACTGAACTCATTTAACTGAAAATCACCATATACCATCACCGTGACATCGCTCACTGTAGTATGTAACGTTAACTCAATGAAGATGTTTAGAAGAAAGAGTAGTCTTCAGTACTAACGAGTGCAAAGAGCTCGAAATGGATGGCTAGTTCACAGAAGTCACTCGAATTCGTTTAAAAGTTGTTCCTCATCTTACCTTCACCACCTGCAGCCCCCCTCAACTCGTTTTCGTCTACCCTCTCCCCATCGTTGGAATCTGCCATGGTTTTATTCAGCACAAACACCGCGGGCCCAAGTGATAGCTTGCTAACTAACGTTAGCCGGACCAGTTTAACAACTTCTGAATCCGCTAATTTCACGGTTTCCAACAACATACAACATAATCTAGTCAATTATCGACGCTTGTGGTTATATATCCTCCCCGGGGGCACCATTAAAATGATAAAAGCATGTTATGCAAGTAAAAAGTTGTCGATAAGCTTTAAGAAGAGCTCCACCAATCCATAGGAGCGCTTTAAACCTGGAAATAACGCGGAAATGGAGAAGGCGACAAGGGCAGATTCGCTGCTGTGCCAAGAATGAACCACAAGCGCGCGCAAACCAAGCAAATATATTTGTTTATTTATTTTATTTTATTATTATTATTTTACTACATGAGTCTTACTAAAACCCACTTAGAATCACAATGACACTTATTGCCCACAGTAGACAAGACAGACAAAATATGTACAAAAATAGTCTATATACAAGTGTTTGTTTGTTTGTTTTGTTTTGCTTTTTTTTCATTCATTCATTGTGTATTTATTAGTTTTAGGTTAATATTTATTCAGAGGCTTTGGGAAATAACGAAATGTTTTATTTATTTGGTTCTATGTAGAGGCTTGGGGAAATAAATGCTATATTTTCATACTAGACATTCCTAAACCACTTTATTAGACATACCAGACCTATTGAAGACGTTTTCCTCTACGATTTGCGCAAGTAGCCTATTCTTGACGCCCAACAGGTTTTCTCTTCTGAAATGCAGTGATTGTTTTTCATATGCGAGCTGCTATTAGAATTTTAGACGGTAAGGTAGATTATTCGCCACAAGATGTCGCTATAAGACTGAGGGCCATAACAACGACATCGGTTCCGTTGCCTTGCAAACATCAACAACAGTTTCCTAAAACATGGAATTTACCTAAGCAGGGTGAGGACAGAGAAAACTGGTTTTATGTCATAAGCGTATTACAAATTAAACATGTAGGCCTACTTTTGGTGAATTGCAGGTAGCCTACCTGTGATCAGAGGTGCTGCTATTGTTTCTGGGCCCCCTGAACAGC